AAAAAAATTAATGTTGTTTTATATATATATTTATATATTTTTTTTTTAAATTTTTATTCAATGCTTTCTGCTTTCTTTCCTTCACTACCACCAGCACTTTCACTGGATAGAGGTCGCTTGGTAAAATATCTATCCAAAGAGGTTTGGCTTTGCCTACTTTTTAAGATGTTTCTAAAATGACTTAGGCAAATGTCGTTACTCCGAGCAGCAATACAGCCAGTGTGAACCTTTTCGGGATGTTTCTTTTCAATAAAATCAGTCACTTTCTGATAATACTTCAAGATTTCCTTTATCGAGCAAGATCCTTCCACGATGAAGCAAACGCGCGGACTGAGACCAATGAACAGAAGTAAATAAAAAATGGTGCTGTGAACTAATGTAACGTCATATGGTGAGTTTTTGTTCATATTGTGGAGCAAAAATATGTTCGAATTTCATGTTGTATCCTGAAAATTTCATATGCTAGGGCGTTTGTATCCTGAGGTACCACTGTACTAAAAAAATATTGTTGAAGATTAGCATTTAAAATTTTAATGTACTAAGCAGTGCATTCACTACTGTAAATACAATAAAAATACTGCACATACTTTCATATTAATGTCTAATGAATTTTAAACATTGAGATATTTCATATATTGAATTATTAGTCTTTCTGAATATTAAATTTAGTATTCTGGAATAAATAATAATTACAATTGTTTATAATATTGTAGTATATATGTTGTATGTGCCTATAGTTACCACAATTAATTAGTTTAGTTTTTTTCCCTTTATGCTATCCATGATTCCTTTTTCCCTCCCTTTTTTGTGCTCCTCAAACTTGGCTTGAGATGAAGTCTTAAGAGCAAAGAAAGTGGGAGGGGAATGCATCCACAAAAACCATGCACTTCACATTTGACTGTTAGAGAGCCAAATGGTATAAAAGTAAAGGAGCTAGAAAGAAACAATTTTTTCCATAAGTTTGACCTCTAGAAATAAGTGAGAACCAGTGGATAACATTGTGAAAACAGTTTTTAGTAACAAGGAACATAATATATTTCTATTTAAGAAGATTTTGTGTAAAGATGTAAAATTGACTGAGATTGTCAATGTAAGTTATGTCTACAAATATACCAAGGCTAGTTAGACTGAAAATTTGTGAAGTGTCATCAAATAACAAAGGATGAAGCTACAAGTCACAAGATGTAATGACAACCACACAGTAATGCTTTGTCACTTGACAGTTCACTGAACTTTTTATTTTATGTTTGGACTATCTCTTATTTTCTTTCTTTAATATTCTAACTTCTGTTACTTTTAAGTTAGTCTATAAAGTGAAAGAACTGTCATGTCACCAAACTATCTTTTGTATTTGTTATACATATAGGGAATTCTCATATCATTGCACTACCTACTGTATCCATTATACATATTGTTGCATTATTTATAGATACATAACCAAACGATTGCCTTAAATAATTGGGCTATAATCTGCTATTTTAATGAATAATACTAAGTAATTTGCTACCAGAGGTAGACAGTAGGCACCATCTCTTATCTAAATTAATAATTATATTTAAAAAATTTATTAATAATTAAGGATGCACCGATAAGCAAAATGGCCGATTACCAATTACTGAGTAATCGGACATGCATTATCGGCTGATACTGATTAATCGGCCAATTAGTGTTAATAATTTATTGCATTAATAATGTGAGATCCTGGAGTTAATTATACAGTTAATTATAATGTGGAAAAAACCCATTTTCTCCACCTGGTATTTCCATCTCTCTCGGGTCAGGTAAACAAGAGACGATCAAATATCCTCGCAAAATCAACAATCTCTTCCTTTGTTTCTAAAATAAATCTCAACACTTAATTGTTGACGCATGGAAACTTCGACATTGTTTAAAAAGCTGAAGTGTTTCTGTGTTTAACATAAACAAAATATATTTCTTTAACTGCTGATACTGTATTTGGACAGCAACTACAAACAATTCTCCTTTTTTAAGTGTAAAAGCTCACTGGTTGAAGGATGATTTTCAGCAGGAAAGAGCTGTTTTGCAAATTGTTTCCTTTGAATGTTCCCACACAGCTACACGAATCAGCAAACAGTTAAAAATTGTTCTTGAACAGTATAAGTTGACAAGAGATAAGATATTCTTAGTACTAAGAGCTTCTGCAGCAAATCTGGTAGCTGGAATTAGGAATTGCAACTTAGAAGCATTATCATACTTTATACATATGCTGCAGCTGACACTAAACGAATGCATATTTTCTGAACAAGATGTGAAAACTATAATCACAGTTAATAGAAATATTGTCACACATTTTAATCATTCTGATGTAATCAAATTGGAAAATTTGCAAGAAAAGTTAGGTTTGCATAAACACAAATTAATTCAAGATGTTCCTACTCACTGGAATTCTACATACTACATGTTGGAACAGCAAAAAGCCCTTGTCACATATGCTATAGATAATAAAATTCCTACATTGAGCCAATATCAGTGGTCTCTCGTTGAAAAAATTGTTCTACTTGTAAAACCATTCAAAGAAATTACTGTGGAAAGCCAGCAAACGAGAAGCCACTTCATCTTCAATAATTCCCACAATAGAGACTCTGAAATTATTCTTATCAAAAGCAAAGATCAGTAGTTCCTTTACTGGCGTTAATACCACAACAGAAGAACTAGAAAATCCAATAAAAAAACAGATTTTCAGCATATATAGAAAACAAGTCTTTATGCTTGTCATTTTTATTAGATTCAAAATGAAATTTCAAAAAGAGGATATGGTAAAGGAAATCTCAATAAGAATTAAATTCTGAAGCTTCTACTTCTGGAGGTGATCAAGATGGAAGTGAATTTCTAAGTTTTTCTGATTTATTTGATGAATTAGCTTCTGGTAAACGAAAGAATGAAGAATAGCATGTTTTTAAAAAGAAAGAAAAAAAAAACGAAAGAGACGAACAAACGTTTCGATCAAGAATTAGAAACATATTTACATTTATCCCTAATTTGAGCAAAATAGCTATGAAATATTTAAGTGCCTCAGCATCTTCCATTGAAAGTGAAAAAATTTTCAGCACTGAAGGTAACATTTATGAGCCGGCAAAAAATAGGTTATGCCCTGAAAATGATGAAATTCTCATGTTTTTGCATTGTAAAAACAAACTGTAAAACCCTTAAATTGTAATTTAAGGGTTTTACAGTTTAAATATTAAATTTTTATTTGTTTTATATTTGTTTTGTATTTAAACTTTAAACTTATGAAACAAATAAAAATTTAATTTTTCTTCTTAACCTATTCAATACTTTTTCTTATGTAAAGTTTAAACTTTATATTATACGTTATGTTATACTTATAATATGTATTGATGAAAGGAATAATTTGATTAGTAAAATTTTTTTAATATTCAGATTGTCATGTAATAAATAATAAATATATAACAGAAATTTATTAGTTTTTATTACTAGCATTGTACGTAACATTCTAACAAAAATACCAAAATGTAAAATTGGCAGATTATCGAAACTCGATTAATCAGGGAAATGGCCAATACCGATTAATTGGCGAAGTGGCCGATACGGCTGATTACCGATTACTTACCGATTAATCGGTGCATCCTTATTAATAATAATTAAAATAGCAAATTATAGCCCAATTATTTAAGATGATCGTTTGGTTTTACATCAAGCTTTGGGATGTTTGATACTCTTACAGTTGCATTATTTGTAAATCGTACTTTGTCATAACCTAACACATATGTCGATTACTCTACTTAAATCATGGTACCACCATAAAATAATATATACTGGTGTGAGAATCTAGAAATTGGAAGAAAGTCATTTTTGGGCAAAAACAAGGAGAGAAAAAGATTTATAAATTAATAGAAAATAATATCTTAAACTTCAACAAAGTTTACAAAAATGGATGTCAAAAGAAACTTTCGATTTTAGAAAGAAAGTTGATTTCCTTTCCTACGGCCGATTCATGAGATGAGTCAAAAATGCAGCCTTTGCACATGCTACTTGGCCGTCAGAAAAGGCCAATATAAAAGAGACATTTTCCAGCCATTCGAGGAGACCATCATACGAAGGGAGTCTGCCATTCAAAGTGTTCTCCATATGATATAGAAAGTCCGTCATACGAGTTTGTTAATTGAAAGTCATATTACAGAATCCTCCATACGAAGTATAGAGTCAGTTATACGACAAGATCGTCATAAGAAAAGTTATCTTTAAGGGAAAGTGTCATAGAAAATATAAGAAGAAGAATATCCATAATTAAAGAGGATTCCCATACATTGAAATATTCAAAGAACTGAGAAGGTAATATGAAAACGGTTAGATCGATGTGAACTCTCTCTCACACATCAAGTTTAATATAAGATTAGGTTTAAGTTAGTTATTTAAATTTAGGTTTAAGTACGATTTGTATCCATTCCTTTGTATACTTTTAATATTTTGATTCATTAAATGTTTTAGTTTATTTTATAAATATGGCTTGGTTAATGTTAGATATTCACACTTATACTTATTCAGGTTACTTGCATTTTTCATACTCCCAAGTTAGTGATAACGTGTGTTAATTCACGTGTAAGAAAACTGATTAACTGGTGTCGGGAATCCTGATAAAGAAAAAGGTGATTATGCGATCATCTAATTCCACTTTTGTTTTACTTCAAACTGTTAGTCCCTCCGCACTCAATTTCTTTGATAGAAAAACCATTCTTTTAGACAACCTGAGGGCTATTCAAATGGAGAGCTGCCGAATAAGTGGTACAAGAGTCTTAACTACTCTGTATCCCCGGCTAGCCCCTCACACTGGTATTAAAATATTACAGATAGATTCAAATCTATTATATCTAATAATGTATATATTAATGTATATAATTTTATTTTTAATAATGAAATAAAATAACTGATTATACCTGTTAAAATCATCATCTTGAACATAACAACGAGGTAAAAGACTAATATACCAAGTACCGATTTCAGGGAATGGTATTAACATGGTTGCAATCCGATTATCCCGTGAGCTAGTATTAACTTGTAAAGACATGGCAGAAAGACAGCTTCCATTTTCATTAAATATTGGTCTAATACCAAATTGTATGCATATTTCTATAGTCATATTAGTTGTCATATTCTGCTGAAAATAAAATAAAAATAATAAATTAAATTTATTTATGCTGATATTAAATAAACATATAAGAGGAACAAAAAATAGAATAATATATAATTATACATACATTCATTGAAGGAAGAATTATTTCTATAGCCAAGGTGCCTCCAATATCAATCACAGTTTCAATTGGAAATTTTGTAAATGTTGGAATGAATGTTGAGACATTCATAAAATATGCTAAATTGTCATTATATAAAACTACATATTGAAAACTGAAATGATTTGGCTCTGTTTCTCTTGTTAAGGTCACTTGAGGCCAGCATGACAATAAAAATTCTTGAGCTTTGTTATGTTCATAGAAAAAATAATGCTGCTCATAAAGTATGTTAGAATGATTAAAAGATGAAAAAATAGTTTTATTTTCTTCTGGTAATTCTGTTGTTGGTGCTAGTTCTGAAGCTACATCACTTATTTCTTTTAATAATCTTGATTCACAGGCTAGGAAAAAAATATTTTTGATTAATTTTAGTTTACAGTATATTTTATTTTTAAGAAAAAAATATTATATTAGACATATTCTCTGACTCCACTTCCATTTAAAATTTGAGTCACTATGGCCTTTCTTGAAGAAGTGAATTCAACTGATATATATAGACATCTACCAAACCTGAATTATCCAAGTTCTAGCCTGATAGTTTATCTGACCTTATCATTTGATCAATTTAATTATTTACTCTTCAAGGTCTTTCAGGTTCTTCAGTACACAGCTTATAAAATTCAAAATATCTTACAATTGGTTCTGAAAACAATAATTCAACTATTTAAGATAAATTGATTTTTTTAAGAAAGGCAGCAGCAGCTCAGTTTTTAAAAGAAATTCTATTTTAAATAAAAAATTTAAATAATTGTTGTGAAATTTAACATTCTAATAATTTTTAAACTAAAAACTATATCTTAATTTATAAAAATTAATTAAATTTTATTATATTTAAAGTTTCTTTTTAATTCAATAATACATCATTTAATATATTTCAAGATTTAATGGATCAATCTCTCTACACTAGATTCTTTCACAATTTTTATACTAATTCTGTAAAATTCTAGGATTTTGCAAAGAATTGTTTAAAAATTTGGCAAAGGATTGTTACTCATAAAAATAATTGCTTATTATTTTTTCTATTAATTTTTATTAACTTTATGAAAATCTATACTAATATTATAAAGAGGTTAAAGTTTGTAAGTTTGGATGTAGGGCTAATCTCTGAAACTACTCATCCAATTTCAAAAATTCTTTCACCAATATTTAGAATGGACCTTCAGGGTGGACATAGGCTGTATATTATTCTGTTAAACATTCATATAAATTAAAAGATATCATCTAGGTAAGCATTATATTTTTGATGTCAGCGGGTGGAAAGGGGCAAGATGCGTACGCATACGAGATAGGTAACTGCACGGCGCAATTGTGTGGTTGGCAAGATACAGTTGTGTGGTCGGCGAGATACACAGTGCATGTGTCCAAACTTGTATATTATATAGATATCGAAATTCCCCACCTGCAGGGGAGAGGGACAAAATTAAGGCTTACTGTGAAGAACTCGGCTTCTATTATACTATTTTAGATGTGGTTTTTTGCATTTTTGATGGCGTTTTAATAGAGTATGTCAAGAGAATGTACACTATAAAAAGATTTTTTGAAATTCCCTCCCACTCCGTGCGGGAGGGAATTTCTAAACATCTAAATGTGTTATATATTTATAATAGATGCATTTTGAGCCACAGCAACGCGTGGACGGGTATAGCTAGTTTTTAAATAAAATCATTCATAACAGTCTCCACTCCAAAAACTGGCTATTTTTAATTAAAAAAAACCTCACTCAAACACCAATAACAATTTAATATTACAACAAGATTTATTAATATATTTTTATCGATTTAAAATGAACATCCTCAAGTAAGTTAAAATGAATGTAAAATTAGAATAAAAATTACGAAACTGAACTTCAACCAAATTCAAAAATGAAACACTTCCTGACTACATATCTACACTCCTGCAGTCATTGGTAAAAATGTAAAATTACTGTAATAATTTAAAATTGTAATAAAATGTAAAATTATATCTTTTAATAAGAGTAAGGTGTAAATATTAAAATGATGATATAGATCAAAAGTTCTATAAGAGGGAATCAGAGTCTTTAAAGTTAACTGCCTTCTAGTTCTTGATTGTCTTGTATATTGATAACAAGAATGTTAGTATCCTAAAGTACATAATTTCCAAATATCATTATTTATCTTGTATAATTAAAATATGTAATTAAATATATCAATGGTGCAGTTTATCTTTTTAAAAACTGTAAAAAAGTATTAAAATTTTAAGGTTAAAAAACAATAAATAACCATTGTTTTTTACATCTATAACTGTATTTAATCAAAAACAAAGCAATACAAAGTCTTTTTAAATTTTAAATTTTTAAATCAATTATTTAACCCAAAAACATTAGTGTTATTATTTTTAATTAGTTTTTAAATTCCTGATGGAATATTCATATTTGAAAAAGTTAAATTTTGAAATTACATTTTTGAATAATTTTATTTTATATAACAAAATTCTAACTGGAGTAGAAAATATTAAAAAGGACCTTTTGAATTTTAACAAATACTTAAGTAAAATGAGCATTTTTTACTTTATAAAATGGCTTTAAAAAAAGCTGAAAGTATTCATTTAATTAAATTTCTGTTGAAATTCTAAAGTTTTTTCTTTTTTGTTCTTTTAATTTTATCTATACTATCTAAATTAATTAATCAAATGTTTTAATGAAAGAATTAATCTTATTTTTAAAAAAATGCTATCATCAAATGATAATTTATTATTAAAATTAAAATAAATAATGAAATTTGCTATATACTTTTTAATTACTATAGGAATTGCTTTTCAATTAACTATTAACGTATAAAAAATTACCAAAAAACTAAAAGATGTATATTAACCTAAGCATTTTCAAACTTTAGCTTGAGTTTCAGAAGATATATTCAGATTAAAATAAAAGTATTTTTATTCTTCAGTGCTGTACTGTAATTTAATATTTTATGAACTAAATTGAATTAAATCATTTAAATAAATCTCTCTTGAATTAATAGTTAAAAAAAATAGCTTATTAGCTTATTTATAGAAGAATATTACATTAAAACTACAGATTCTTTGTATATCCAGTTATTCTTGATAAAAGAAAACAAACATGAATTATAAATGTATAAAAAAATCAATCAATAAATGCAAGAATTTACTCATTAATTTGTTACCTACTTAAGACAGAAAACAACTTATATATATAATGTATATAGGTGTATATGTAGGTATAGGTGAATGTGCATATTTTATGTCTGGATATATACACAAATGTGAAACAAATGGAACTAGAATATCAAAAGAATAGATCAAACTAAATATTTTATCACATTATGCATATATTATGTATGAAGAAATAGTAATAAAAAACAAATATCTAAAGATTACCATATCAGATTTCATATGATAAGCTTGAGATTTTTGTTTTTTATTGCCAGTTCTTCATGCATTTTATAAATAAATATACAAATTTTTCAATTTTTCTTTTGAATTTTGTTATTTAATTTGCTTAATCTCTGACTGAATTTTTAACAAATTTGTCAGAAATTTTAGAACTTTATCAAGATAGTTTTCAAAATTATAATTCTTCTGTAATCATACACGATCTCCCTGTCCATAAAATAAACAAAACATTTTATTATTAAAAATAAGTATGAATATAAATGAAGACAGTTACAGAAAATAATGACTAAATCATTTCATCTATCTATCTAAATTCTAATAATTGAGTGGAATTTGAGTGAGAAATGATTTAAATACTTTTAATTATTAACTATTTAATAATTAAATCATAGTATGAATGATTTTATACTGTATATTTTAATAAATAATAGATTTATCAATTTTTTTTGCATCATCTTGAATAAAATTTTGATACGTAATTAACAAAGCATGGATGTATATTTTGACATTACTTTTAATTTCTAATTTATTCTAATTTTGTGTTTCATAATTTTTTAAAACAAATCTAATTGATAAGTTCAGTAAAAAGAGGTTTTTTTTTTTTCTTACATAAAAATCTTATCCGTGACTAAAAAAATACTATTGTAAAAAATGATTGCTCAGAATACTTTATCAATTGCAGCTACACCTGACTTGAACTTACAGAGAAAACAAATAGTAGTCAGGAAAAAATACTACATGAAACTCCAATTGAAGAAAGAGTACAGCAGTACATTTATACAAGGAAGTAGTATATTTACTCTGCTACTTTAAGAGAAATCCATCAATTATATAAATTGTTAATGCTTATATCACTTTACTGATTTACAACTATATCATAAAAACTTTTATAATTTCAACTTTTATTGATATAATAAGAAATATTTTTTCCAATTATAAAATAAAAAATTAGAATACTTAATCATCAAATCAATTATATATTAAATATATTGTCTTTTATTTATTTTACAATTATAATATTGTAGAAAATGTTTATTTTTATAAATATACAGCTTTGATGATACAATGTTACAAATATTGAATTCCCTGCAGAAGGTAAGGTTAAATGGACAGAGTCAAATAAATAAAACTTTATGATAGAGTATTATAGCAATATAACATTGTTAGACAAACAAAGGAAACTTTTAGATTGTCTAATAGCTTTTATTGTTAATTGATTACATCAACAAGCTGTTATTTACACACAATTATAACTTCTCTCTACAAGTATTTTATGAATTATCATTTAAGATTTTTATTTGCAAATAAAATAAATACAAAAACTTTTATTAATACTATTTGGTTATAGTTATGTATTTCCAAGATCGTGTCTTCCTTTATTTGTTTTTTTCTTCACTACTAAGTACATAAATAGACACTAGGCATATTACATCATCTTTATTAATCTTCTTTAGGCCGATACGCATTTTGGGCTTGGCCCCTCATCCATCAGCATTACATATTGGCCTAAGGAAGATTAATAAAGATGATGTAATATGCCTAGTGTCTATTTATGCACCTAGTAGTGAAGAAAAAAACTAATAAAGGAAGACACAGTCTCAGTTTTATTAATACTTTTTATTTTATTTTTCATTATTAAAATCAATAATTTGTCTATAAATTTTCTTTAATTCATGTTAGGTTTTTCATTTTTTGAATCATTTAATATCAAAAATTATTTTGAACAGTGACCCTGGATAAATGCCAAAACATACAGGAAAAACATCAATAACAAATTTTATTTTTTGGAATGTTATTTGGCACAGAAAATAGTATAATTTTAAAATGATGTAATTACTTAAAAAACAGCATAAAATAGCTTATTGGTTATAATATGTAGTATATTTCTGCTTTAGTCTTAAAAATTAATTTATTAGTGATTTTTATTTTAAATATATATAAATTTTAGAAGCTGAACAAATAATAGATATATGTATGTTTAATCATTTAAAACATTTGAAGTATTCTTTAAAACATTTTTCTACAATTTATATATTTTATCAACTAATAATATCTTATCAATCATAAGTAAAGATTCATCTTACCTGTTAATGCTACTTCTAGGGTAAAATTAACAGTTTCATTAAACAATGGATGTACTAATATATAATTAAAATTTTCTTCAGCAGGTATAATATTGGCACTACATAGTTTTACTGTACTACAATTCACAGAAAAACTATTCAGTGTTGTATTTTCCACTGAAGGAAGTGCAAATGGACGTGCTAAGAGCATCACTGGACAGTTGTCTAAACTGGAACTACAATCTTTTATAACAATACTAGTAGACCAAGTATTAAACCCAGCATAAAATCTAAAAAATAAATTAATTTATTGTTAACATAAAATAACAATAAATTTAAAGTTTTCAATTTATAATTTACTTTTGAAATATGTTATTTTTGAAAAACAAAAATCTGTAATTAGAAATATAATACAGCAAAAATATTTACTTATAAAATGTAGGATTTGAAATCTCTTGATAGAGTTCTTCATTTGAAACTACATTAATTACAGAATTTTCTATATTTACTCGTAATAATGATGCTAACCATGCTTGACAAGGCCTATAAAGTCCCTATGATAAAGAACAAAATTAATGTTAAAAATATTGTAATTAAAATTGAGATAAAATTAAAATTACAGTAAATTGTTGTAAAAATGTATAATTTCTATAATTAAAGTTTATCAACTCAAATTACAAATACATTTATTTCTGGCGAATGCTTTTGAAATTGACAATTTTTGTAAACATACTTATAGGGAATAAAATTAATTTTTAAAATCTTTATCAAGCAAAAATCAATATTACATAAACAAAGTTAATCAAAAAATGCTAAAGAAATTATTAAAGATTATAAAATCTCTGATTGTTAAATTCCTCAGTCTCATTTGTGTCATAAGTAATCAAAATAATCAAAGATTATTTTTATTACATATAACACAAACTATTACAGAGAAAAAATATATTGAAATGAAATATAAAATTAGAAAAAAATTGCCATTGAATAATGTTACAGGCTGAATATATATCAAAGTTTACTGTATATAACAAATGCTAAAAATTCATAAAAAATATTTAAGTTTCTAATATATGATAATTCATCCATCTGTCCTAACTTAATTGATTTGGACAAATATTTGAATTATTGTGTATTCGAAACTTTCCTAATTAAAGTTTAGAAATTTTCAGCACTTATTTAATAATAAATCGATGTCTAATTACTATAAAAATAAGTTGTGTTGTGAAATTAATTTATTAAAATTAATTCAATTATAATAAGAATTACAAAATTTAATGATATACTAACATATTACAATTTTCAAATTAAACAATACAGATTTTATAGATGAAATATACATAATTAAATTTACAAAAATGAAAATTATATCAAACATTATCTTATTATTAACCAGATTATATCAAGTTACTATTGATTATAAGTTTTGTTATGACTAGAATAATTTGGCATTGTAGATAGGTGTGTCATTATTCATTGTTAATATTAATCTAAATTATTTAATCATTAATAAACTATTTAGTCAATCAATAGCAAACTGAATTTGATGTATCATTAATGATAAATCAGAATTCAGTTTGCTATTGAATGACTAAATAAATATCATTTAGTGATAAATAATGGTATTAAGATATTATCTCCAATAAAATTACAAATGTATATTATATATATATATATATATAGTGTGTGTGTGTACATGAGTGGTATATGTGGATGTGCATGTATGCACATGTAAACGCCATTTTATATTGGATATATATAATTATTTATAAAATAAATTATCCACAATATATAATTATTATGTATAAAAAAAGATAACCTTTTGTTTTATTTGCTGAGAGCTGTCATTAATAAAAGCTGCTGCAAACCAATCTCCAGGCCAAGGTGTTGAAATATTAAGGAAAGTGGAAATCTTATTAGTTTCCATAGTCACAGAATATTGAAACAACTGATTCAAAACAAATTTATCAGGGAAAGTTGAATTATCTGGATTGATCACAGGAAAACTTCCATATCTTAAGTAACTGAAAAAAAATGTAATAATTTTTAAATATAAGAAAACAAAAAATTTATCAAGAAATATATCTTAATAAATGCCACAATTTTATAACTGCAAAAATATAAACTGTAAAGCATACTGTATTTTATAGCACATAAGATGTGCCTCCATTTCAGAATATTTAGAAAAAAAGTATTGTATTTAAGCCATACTGTCCCTTTAGTGCTCAGACCCAAAATTTTTTTACTGTATTATAGTTAAAGTAAAATTAGAATACACACTTTTATTTAAGTCATATTTAACGAAAAAAACAATTTAAAAAGAAGATATTCACAATTAAATTTACCATTAAAATATTCAACATAAATACAAGCAAAAGTTGCTCGGTTATATCAATAATTAATAACAAAAATAATAATGTACTTAATTAAACAATAACTTTTTATTCGAGAGTCGGGCTAGGTAGAAGTTACTGAAGACCATTTGGGGAATTCATTAACCTATGGGAGATCACAACTTCACTTATAAGATATAGGTTTTTAGCCTTTTTTCTGGACAAAAGTTTTGTCTTTTATGTCATAAAATATGGTATTTCTATTATTGTTTCTTACATTAAATTATTATACATATGTAATAATATATTTATAATAGTTATTATATAGTAATATGTATGGTAAAATATGTATTTAGTCATAAAAAATTGGTGTTTTTCTTTTATTTTATATTTATAAATTTATAAGATTTTGCAATAGATTATTTATTTTTGTTTTTTTATTTCAAAAATTATAACTCATTATTTAGAAATGATTTAATGTAAATAAAATATTTTAAAATATAATATAAATGAATTAACATTTTTATTGTCATACAAATTTTTATTTACAAATTTCTTTATACACATTAATTTAAATATATATTAATTTCTAATATGTCTTCCATTTATAATTAATTAATCCTAATGAAAGTTAATGAAGTCTCTTTCTCTCTATCAATTTTCTGATCTTTTACAATTTATTTTAATTAATTATTAAAGTTTAACTTATTTATTTAAGCGAAATCAATTATAATAATTTGCAGTTTGCAAATTATTAAATTATTAAATACTGCAAAATATATATATATATTTTTTTTTTACTTTAAGGAAAGTTATTACAATTTATAGATACTCAAATCAGAAATAAACATTAATTTTGAATATAATTTTAATAAAAGCAACTTTTGTAAAAAAAAAAAATAAATTCTTGAGAGAAAATGAATTTCAAGCAAGAAGATTGTTCATATAAAAAAATATATATATAGATGTGTAATTAAAATAAAAATTAAAGACATACTTTATTAATTATTAATATTTGAAACTGCTAAAATTAATGAATTAATAAGTTGCTATAATAATAAATAAAATCAGAGTTTATTTAATTACAGTAATAGTATTTTAGAATACGTATTCAGCATACCTTAATTTATATTGCCAAGTAAAAGAAAAAAGACATTAAAAATTCATATAAATATATATTAATTTTTTTTGTTTCAAACAAAAAAGTTATAAAATTATTCTTAAGTTTTTTCAAAATCAAAATTATATAGTTATAATAAACTGTAAAATAATATAAAAATATATGTAAATAGTACATTTATCTAATTATTTCTGATTTTAACTAGCTGATTTCAGGAAAATCTTTGAGCATGTACTTCTGTTTGATTGTACCAATATTTGCTTTAAGTTGATTTTTATTTGTAGTTTTTATTTACATCAATTATTTTATGAGTATTAATTTTTATTGTAATTGTTTTCAAATGTAAATTGTAATGTATTTGTATTATATTGTAGTAAAAGTCAGTTTCAAAATTTAACCAAAAAATAATTTGTTGAAACATTCTTATTTTTGTTCAATTTTTAAAATTTCGTGTGCAAAAATATTTACTTATAAAATGTAGGATTTGAAATCTCTTGATAGAGTTCTTCATTTGAAACTACATTAATTACAGAATTTTCTATATTTACTCGTAATAATGATGCTAACCATGCTTGACAAGGCCTATTTCTTCACTCACATCAATTTCATCATTTCCATTGCCATTCTCTAATCTGAAATACTAAAAAAAGACTGCCAATTAATACAAAATTAAATTATATGATAAATATAATTAGT